GACCAGGGAGTTCAGGGTCGGGCGGTCCGCATGGTGTGGGGCCGCCGGGGCCGCCGTCCACCCCCCGCATAGAAAGAGAGAGCGAGAGAGAGACAAAAAGAGAGAGCAATTGCAAACTAAAAAAGCAATTGCGAACTGGGAAGTACACTAGAGCACCCACAAAGATTGTGTGGATTGCATTTTCCCTCATGATGGCAGCTCTTCATAACTGAGCCGGTGAATTACACTTGTCAATTTCGTGTGCGGGCGGCCCCGTAGTCCAGTGGTTGGCATGTCGGCTTCGCAGTGCAGAGGTACCAGGTTCAATTCCAGCTCCGGCCTCCCTGTGTGGAGTTTGCATGTTCTCCCCGGGCCAGCGTGGGTTTTCTCGGGGTACTCCGGTTTCCTCCCACATTCCAAAAACATGCATGGCAGGCTGATTGAGCACTCTAAATTGTCCCTAGGTATGAGTGTGGGCGTGGATGTATTGTTCGTCTCTGTGTGCCCTGCGATTGGCTGGCAACCAATTCAGGGTGTCCCCCGCCTACTGCCTGAAGACAGCTGGGATAGGCTCCAGCACCCCCCGCGACTCTACTGAGGATAAAACAGTTCGGAAAATGGATGGATGGATGCAATTTCGTGTGCAGCTCTTTGCATGTGGCGCATGCAGCATACACACCCAAACTAATGCCCCTCCCCCCACCACCACCACCACCATGATGACACCTTTACCAAGCAATCAAGTATATTTTGCTTTTTTGTGCAGCCACAGAACTAAATACAGCTTCACGTTTGTTTTTGACATGGTGTCCTGCAGTGACTTGAAAGTGGCTGCCAAGTTGGGTGTGGGTTGACTTGCTGAAGATATACTTGATCCTTTAATGTCACAGTTAAATGGTGGGCAGGCATTCCAGATTACTCACTTTTTTGTACACAATCAAATAAATAGTAACATCCCCATGTGTCTCCTTTAATCAATGTCAATTTGGTTTGGTCTTCAGCTCCATCAGTGGCTCCCAGTGGACTTGGAGGTGGAGGTGGCGATCGCAATGAACTTATCATAACATGGACAGTAAGTTGAAAACGAATAAATGAATGAACATCTGATGGCGCATGGGAAACTGGTACTTGCTTTGAAGCTACATTTGCTGACCATTCCTCTTCTGCTTGACCTTCCAGCCCATGGCCAGAGAATACCAGAATGGTGATAGCTTTGGCTACATCCTGGCTTTCAGGAAGAAAGACACATCATCATGGACAGAAGTGCGCATACCTTTCGTGGAGTCATCCCGATATGTGTACTACAATGCCACTCTGATGCCATACAGCCCCTTTGAAGTGAAAATTAAAGCTGTTAACCGAAGGGGCGAAGGTCCCTTCAGCCAGATTGCTGTTGTCCATTCTGCTGAGGAAGGTCAGTCAATCTGATATGTTTCTTTTGGTTAGACACGAACACAATGGATATAAATGGCCTCCACATTAGGGATGGAACTGACTAGTCAACTTAGGGCTGGGAAATAAGTCACAGTCAATATACCTGTATATTGCAATAGACATCCATATTTGTTTGATATTTATTGCACTCAATATGAGTTTCATTAAAAAAAAAAAAATCAGGAAGCAAACCCTGATCCCGTCATTCTGCGTGATGCAGGCAGATGATACGGTCTGACATTAGATTTGTACCGCAATTACAATAAGGAATACATAAATTGTGATTCGCCCATCACTACGAAGCAAATTATGATTAAAAATATTTATTCAATCTTTATCTTCCTCCGGGTCCTTATTTTGACCCCCCCCCCACCCCCACCCCGCTGTCGGGCTACATGCCTTCCTGGTTCCCGCTCTGCTTTTCCTGCTGTCTCCGGTCAGTTCCGATGATGATCAATGTTCACTTCGGGCCATCATTTCGGGGCAATTTGACATACAGTACAGTAGGTCAAATAAAGGGCTAGCTGATTGCCCCTAAAAATAAAGATGTGCCCTTCCTTTGGCAGCAATGATTTGAACACCAGCTCAGTGATATGTGACTTTCTGTTCATTAAATCCACTGTGAATCCGCTGCCGAATGGAGAAAAAGTCCTTAAAAATGGATAAATTAGCCCTCAAACGTCCTTAAAAGGTCCATAAATAAAAAGCAAGTGGAAGAGTGGGAACCCTGGATAAAATCGACACATCTCCTTTGCCACTGCTTAATGACTGTTAGAGCTTGAAGTCGACTTAACGCTACTTGCGTGTGTTGGATGTGGAATCCTCCTTGAAATCAACAGTCGATTGATTTGCAAAGTAAACTCCTGCCCGAAGACAGCTGGGATAGGCTACAGAACGCCCTGCGACACTTGTGAGGATAAGTGGATCAGAAAATAGATGGATGGATATCGTAACTCAAAACATAGTAAGTTGTGTTAAACATTGTCATTAGAATACATTTCCCCACCTTTTTATGCACGCTATACGATTTGACCACCAGAGGGCACCCGAAGCTTTGCGTTGACACAGCGGTCTCATCTGTTTCTCTGTACAGTACATCAGTGGCCCCCAACTTTTTTTTGTGTGTCACGGACCGGCAACTATTTATTTATTTTTTTTTTTGCTTTTAAATTGCCAGTTTTAAAGCACTGGTACTAACAACAAAGATAATTATAGATGAATTAATCATTTTATGAGCATATATTTTTTTCAGGCATTTCAAACAGTATTATTCAACTGCCCAACAAATGTAGAATAAAATAAAATAACACGGTGAACTATTAAGAAATGGACCAATCAGGAATAATAAATGCTCAAGTTATGATCCTGCATACGGTGCATCTTTGCTACATGCAACTGTGACTGAACAAAAGATGACAGGATTGATTGCTGCTTTCATGACTGGCTGCCGGCTAATTATTAGCGACGAAACTGTTAATGTTTACGGGGGCAGGCTGTGCAAACTTTGCTCGCATTTTCATGCTTTCCATTTGATCACTTGGGTGCTACTTGTTCTAATGATTCAACAGGTTTCTTGTATTGCCTTGTTTTTGTCGTCATAGCACGCGCAACAGCTTCCTCCTCCACTTCCCTCTGTAGATACCGCTAGGGTAGGCACTTCTCTTGTCAAAATACAGTAGCTTCATCTTCGGAAGTCATGGCTGCCCATTCGCAGCGTGTTTCGCTGTACGTTTGGTCAACTTGTTACTATTTCTGTTTAGTGCTTCTTCTTTGATTTATTTTAATATTTGATTTATTTCAACTTACAAACAAATGTTAAAAAGCTGCCTCCTATTCGCGGAAATTTCCGCCATGTCTGATGGACTAAATTTGCTCACAGCTCGCAGGTCTGTTTCTGTGCGGCCTGGTCCTAAATGGGCCGAGGTCTCGTACTGGTCCGCGGACTGGTGGTTGGGGACTAATGCTGTACAATACCTCCATACCTCAAAATAGACAGCAAGGATGTGTTTTCATCAATCCATGTACTCTGCTGGTGAAATTGCACATGACATTTTCATATTTTAACATCCATAACTGTAATTAACTGTTCACAGAGCCAACGGTTGGACCTTTAAGCATAAATGTCACTGCACTGACAGCTTTTGAGATCCAAGTGTCATGGGAGCCTGTCCTGCAACCGAATACCAATGGCATCCTCAGGGGATATGAGGTGATGACGTTCTTATCGACTCAATGCAACCAACAAGTGCATTTTACAGTGCTGAAAAGTACAAATTATATTATGCGGCGACTCGTCGTCATTCTTGGTTGATTTTATTTTGGTGTTGAATTAAATGTGTAAGTTTAATATTATTTCTCATCACCCAATGAGAGTATATTATTTGACAATACCTTGATTGTACAGTACAATTATCTTCACTTGGTGAGATTCATTTGTGAATAGAGAATGTGTCACATTCTGACAATGTCTATTGTGGATGTCATTAGATCCGATACTGGCGACAGCATGAACGGGAAGCAGCAGCAGACAGAGTGCGGACAGCAGGACTTGAAACAACGGCCAGGGTGTCTGGACTGCGTCCGAGCACTCGATATCATGTTGCAGTTCTGGCATATAACAGCGCGGGCACTGGCCCACCCTCACCACGATCCACTGTCACCACCAAGAAACCACGTAGGTTTGCTTCCTTCGCATGCATGCACAGAGAATGCAGATGTAGGGATTGGTATCGTAATCAGTCATTTCATTGAATTTGGTACATTATAGGGAATTGATTGTGTTTAATCATGTTTGTAAGCAACTATGCACACTGCATGATTTAATCTTGACTCTTGTACAGTCTTAAGAACAGGATCGTATTCACGATGAGAAGTTGCGCTCTATCCATGCAGAATTCAGCTATCGGACGCATAGTGCTCAGTAGACTAAGATTCTTGCATCTCATTGAAATATAAAAAAATACTTCAATTTCATCAAATGCTCTTCTCTAATCAGATGACTTAAATTTGGTTTATGTTTGATGCGTCCGTGAGGTCCACATGGCTCCACGTGGTAAAAATATTTCCAGCAACCACGCCTCTCTATGTGGCGTCCACATTGGCACCAGACTGCCATGAACATTTATCCATGGCGGACGAGCAAAAGCTGTCGTAAACAGAAACAGTAGTTTCTACTTCTGGATTCTTTGTTTTCATTTATTTTGTTAAATGTACGGATACCGTCCACCCTATATTGTTGTTGTCAATAGTTTATTGACTTAAAAAAACAAAAAACAACCAAAACAAAAAGATGAACTAGTTTTCTACTTCTATTGTGGTGAAGAGTTGTTCATATAGCTTAGACGCACTTCACTGCCTCCTATAGTTTGGGAGAATATCAGCTAACAGTGAGGGCAAGCTGCAGAGTATCGAGGCTGCAAAAGTTGTCACTCTGATTCAACGTTCCCTTTAATTTTCTATCCGTCTGAGCATTCACACAAACTCCCTGAGCATTTCTTGAGCCACAGTGAGCAACATCAGCGGCCAAACCAGTATCACACTTGTCTAAAACCTGCAATCATAACAAGGTACGTGATGTAGTATCATATGAGAAAATTCAAATGATCTTTATATCAAAATAGAACATACCATCGAATGGAGATCTATGAAATTAATAAAATTGGCCCATGTTCATTACTTTTATTTTGGCACACAGGTTATTTTAAACGTAATTAATTCAGCCAGACTCGGTGGTCCAGTGGTGAGCACGTCGACCTCCCAGTGCAGTGCAGTGCGGGTTCAATTCCAGCTCCGGCTTCCCTGTGTGGAGTTTGCATGTTCTCCCCGGGCCTGCGTGGGTTTGCTCCGGATACTCCGGTTTCCTCCCACATTCCCAAAACATGCATGGCAGGCTGATTGAACACTCTAAATTGTCCCGAGGTGTGACTGTGAGTGCAGATAGTTGTTCGTCTCTGTGTGCCATGCGATTGACCAGTTCAGGGTGTCCCTGCCTATTGCCTGAAGACGGCTGGGATAGGCTCCAGCACCCCCCGCGACCCTTGTGAGGATAAAGTGGATTGGAAAATGGACAGATGGACGTATAACTATGGTCACATATTGTCCACTCATAAATAATGGAAAACATATCGTTTAATAAAACACCAAAAAAATCCAAGTCACCTGACCTTTGAAACGCGCAAAAGAGCCTCATTCAAGGGGCTCGTAAACTACGTCCATGTTTGGATTTCCTGAATGGAGCGGTCCCCGCATCGCCTGCAGCCTCTCTCTCATCTGTTGTGAGTGTGAGTGTATGTGTGTCAACGTATGCATCAAACTATCGTAGAACAACTGAGTGCGCACTACTGCAACTGTAATGGAAGTGGGGAAGACTCTGGTGTCCTATTTGTCGATTAAAGTGGGGTGGAAATGAAGGAATGAGAAATATCGTGTGTGCGCGCCAGCTGTCACCGTGTGCGCTGAGGGTGAGAGAAGTACGCAATTGCTCAATCGTGCAGCTTTAGAGGAAACATTGGTCTGATTCCACACATCTCTTTTCCGCACAAAATGTACTTGCTTCAAGCTTAAACTTGGTTCAAAACAGTTCATATTCATGTTGTCCTTATCCAACACAGAGAAACAGCTCTCTATATACCCGCTTCATTCTCTCAGCTCTGCTTCTCCCCGTGCCTGCGTGGGTTTTCTCCGGGTTCTCCGGTTTTCTCCCACAAACTAATCACACAGGGGTCTTACTAACTCACTCAGTATCTGAAATGAGAGAATCATATATATTTAAATGTTGGCATGGTTTTTTTACTCGAATAAAATGAATATGATAAGGAAACTACATTTCATGATGAGATAATTTAACTTTAGTGGACTCAGTCGGTTTGGACAATTTCAACTAAAGTAGTTGGTTCTTCTTTCAGCTCCTAATCGCCCTCCTGGAAATGTATCATGGAGGACAGATGGTTCATGGGTAATTGTGCGATGGGACCAGGTGAAGGCCATGCACAATGAGTCAGCAGTACTTGGATACAAGGTGAGTGTTTTCTGGTCCTGCTTCACAAACACCAATAGGAATAAAAATGCATATGATGGTGAATATTCAATATTAAAGTATGGTCAATGTCAATTAATGACTATTGGTCACTATGCACCTTGCGGTATTGTTTACATTGTCCATCCACCATATGGTAACCGACGCTTTGAATTGTCAATATTTTCAATGTCACAGATTGGCTCTGTTATAGTTCATTAAAATAAATACATAAAAAATACTGAAACTTCAAAGCTGCTCAAATCCACTCAAACCTCCAAATGATCGAATGGAAAAAGAAGAAGAAGAAAGAAGAAGAAAAATCTTTATTTGCCTCACAATGGAGAAATTCGCAATTTATAGCAGCAAAAACGTGACACCAGATATGTCGCTTTTCTACCTTTGAGCTTTGGAGCGCCTACGCACAATGTCCTTCATTCATACACTCATGTTGGATCATAACAATAAATCTGTCGGTGAGGGAAAAAAAACCCACAGCTAATTATTAATTAATATTTATTGTGAACCCTCATTTAGATTGATGGTTTGTTGTAATGCGTAATAAAATAGCATGTAAAATTAAATCAAAGTTCATATTAATATGATAAAAGTATTACTTTGTACACCTCGGCCACATTTGGAGCATATGTGATTTTTTATTTGGGGAATGGTCATCTCTACCTGGAAATGACACCAAAAGTGGCCAAGACTGTAGGACATGTAGAAAAACCAATTTCTTAGTTTTTTTGTTTTTTTACATTTTGGAGAAAGTTTACATGACTAAAATCCTTCAGAATGTTCTTCAATGGCTAGGTTCACACTGCAGCTCTTCATGCTCAATTTGGATTGATGTGGTAATGAATGTGCTGGAAAACGAACTTATGCGATTTGGTGTTGAAGCATTTTTTTGGGGGGCGGGGGGTGATAAACGAGGCAGCGTGAATTGAATACTTTTTTTCTACACGGAGCGAGGGAAATATCAGTTTTTTTGTTATTTTGACGCACAAGGTTATGTGTGCAGAAGACCTAAATTAAAGTCAATAATTTTGACTAATGTCTTCATGTTACAAAATGCACCCTTTGCGTGCTAATGCTATATTCCAGACATGACTATCCCAATGTCAGAAATGAAATCAGGCATCAGCCACAGCGTGCTTCCCTTTTAGAAAATCATTTATCACCGCCGTGATGCCATGGAAGAGAGGTTTGTATCGTATAAAGTATTTTCAGTGAAATAATGGCGAACTTTCAGAGCCTGTTGCTAACACGGGCCAAGTCGTGAAACTGCACTACGCACAAAAATCTTTACGTCGCGGATGACCAGGATTACCACTACCGTGCCTGTTTGCCTCTATAAGCTCTATATAAATAAAGCTGTATCGAATCGCATTGTATTCCCTTCAGCTTAGCTCCATCTAGTGGATGCATAACACAACCGCAGCCACTAATGTAGCTTCTATTCTATGTGCCTTATGATGTGGTGCGCCCTACATATACAGTATGAAAACAGCTTTAAAATAGAGGATTCATTGAAGGTGCACCTTATACTCCAAAGCACCTTATAGTGCGGAAAACACGGTCCACGAAATCTGATCTCTACATTTGACCCATCACAGTAAACACACACTTTTGGTGGCACATACCTGGAGCAGCGGGCTGCCCAAGTGCCCATGCAGTTTTGGGGTATCAGTGTCTTGCGCAAGAACACCACGGCCGTGTGTCTGGGGGGGATGGTCTTGAACCAGGGTCCCCATGGTGGCAGGTGACAATCTCATCCACTTGGCCACAATACCCTGACTTAGTGCTCTCCTCCAATCCTTCAAAGAACTACCCTTGACTTCAAACATTTTGCACTTGAGGTGCTCTCCCAAGTTTTATCTGGTGAAAACCTTTACAGCCGTCACAAATTGTGCCCCAGTCTTTTACTAGATCACGTGCAGCATGGCATTACGGTAACCAAAACTGTTACTTCCATGATGACAGGTTCTGTACAAGCATGAGGGTCAAACAGTCTTGAAAGTCCTGGACAGAGAGAAGACATCCGTGAACTTGCCCCTGCCCAAAGACAATGGATATGTTGTATTGGAAGTGCGATCCTGGGCTGAAGGTGGGGACGGACCTGCGCACGAGATTATTGTCTCCCGGGACTCAGGTGAAGAACTACAATTTAACAGCTTTATCATTACAGAAAAAAAATACTGTGATTGGAAAAGTACTTGACAATATTGCTTGTGACTGAAAATATTTGCGTTTTTACATTTGGATCAAATACACAGTATCAAAAGTGAGCTAAATGTGTGATATGCTTTGTCTTTCTCAGGAACCGGCATGATGGTGCAGAACAAGGCAATTGTCTCCAGTCATTCGCTCCACCTAGTCATTTGCATGTTTCTTTTCACAATTGTGTCAGCCCGATGATTTCACTCAGCTTTTTAGTCTACTGACTTAAATTGAAAGCATCTGGTACCGGTATTTAAAAAAAAAAAAAAAAAAAAAAAAAAAAAAAAAAAACTTTGGTTTGAAACATCAATGTGTTTTTTTAGAAAGATGATTGTGTAGTCAAGCACTCGAGTAAACATTTTAAGGGGAAAATGTCACGTGTTATGTGTCAAACCAACGGTCGGATCATGATAAGAGCTTTCACTTTTGCCTTCATAAACATGCATGCATATATACACAAACCACAATGGAGGTGAGCAAGTGGTTGAAGAGGTTCAGCAGGTTGCACGAACATGCAATCATTCCATTTAGGGACGACATTATAACGATGGGCTTGAAACGTGTCACCAGAAACTGAATCTGAATGATTCACATTTCAGTGTGAATCACTGAACTTAAAAATAAGTGCATTGAAAAACTGAATCTGAATTACAAAAATATGTCTTTTTTATTTTTTATTTTGGTGAATCTTAACTTTGAAAAACGGAATCTAAATTGCGCAATTTGAATTTGTGTTCCTTGCCGGAAATGTAATTCGGAACATTTTTTCACATTCCGTTTTAAAAACACAAATTGAAATCTTTTTCCACACAGATTCAGCTCTCCTGGCTTTTCACAGTCAGTTTTACAAGTAAGAATTCAAGTCTTCTCAATAAAAATTCAGTTTGTGTGACAAACATCCGAGTACTTCAGGAAGAACACAGATCTCCTCTATGTCCAATCAGCATCTTCGTCTTGAGGATGTGACACAAGATCTGCGTAGGGGGGTTGGGGGGGGGGGGGCGATTATAATTTCCAAAGTGGCGTGATAACAACTTTGTGTAACCTTCAGGGAGGGATAACAAGGGGTATGTGCATGTTTAACAAAATGAAGCCCCGTAGTCAGTATGTCTCGTTTTCAGTTGTTGTTTTTTTTTTTTTGTTTGTTTCTTTATTTTTTTTTCCCCCAAACAAAAACATCATGGCCACATTGAATTCCATGCTTTAGGCATTACTGACACCTAGCGGTAGAACCATCACACAGCACGTATCAATAGACACTGGGAGCTCATCTCTTAATTCGGCACAGGATTTCAAAATTAGCTAATCCTGTTTCATGATTTGTTACATATTGAGCCGATTGTCCGTTCTATGTAGGACAGTTTTTTTGGAACTAGAATGACTAGATTACGCTGCCTTATGCCTGATCAACCAGATTTTTAAAATAATTTCAGTGCTTGATTTGTGAGGTGAATCATGATTCACCCACACAAGAATTTAAGAACATTAAATATGAGATGGTATGGCAAAAGAGGAAAAGCGAAATTACTTATACCACAAAGGTGAAATTAAGGTACCATAAAGATTAAGAGCCCCTTGTTGCAGATAACATTTTTTCCCTGAGAGCATTTGTCACATGATCAAAACGAAGGTGTGGATTGGACAAAGAGGAGATCTGTGTTGTCCAATCAATTGGTCTTCCTTAAATGCTCACATTTTTGTCACATAAACTGAATTTTTATGGAGAAGATGTGAAGTTTCACGTGTAAAACTCAATGTGAAAAACCATGTGAACTGAATTTGTGAGGAAGAGATTTGTATTTGTAAAACTTAACATGTAAAAATATACAGAAATTGAAATTTTCAGTGAGGAACACAAATTCAAATTGTGTGATTCGGGTTCAGCTTTTCAAAGTAAAGATTCAAACCAAACGATGCAAATTCAACTCTTGTAATTCAAATTCAGTTGTTCAATGCACTTATTCAAGTCTAGCGAACTTCATTTTCTGGTGGCACATATTTTAGCCCATAGTATATGCACTACACCAGAGTTAGGGGGGGCAAGATCCATCAGAAATCTGTCAAGCCCCCTCCCATTCAACACCCCCAAAAATGTATCTATTCATTAACAATTCCGGTTTCCGTGTGTGTGCGCTGCAGCTGTACCCTGCGTCTGTTTGTTTGCTTGCACATTAGAGTCACGTTCGTAAAAAACCTCAGAGCGCGCACTGGTTCATTGCGACCTTCGGGAACTTGGAGCTTTGCTTAAATTTGTCTTTTGGCTATTCAGAGTGCACTAAAATGGTGCGAGGCACTAGGTGCTCCGACTCAGGATGTGCGTGTGTTGGCTGTGTTCGGAAACTAATGGGAGCAAAGTGCACGCTACCTCACCGGAACACACTCACTCACAGAGTAGTGCATGGGCGTCAGAGGGAATTTCCGAATGCGTCTTAGGTTAGAGTTAGTTCGCTTGCAAACCATCTCAGCAATGTAAAAAAAAAAAAAAAAAAAACCCCAGGACCCCCAAATCTCCTAATTCCTCAGGGGGGTAAAGGAGAAGAGGGTAATTGGAAACATTAGACTTGTCCAACTCCTGAAGGAGCACCAGCCGCAGCTCGTCAGTGTGCAGGCTTCAAAATTGTGTGCAACAAGCATTCCCCAATAAGAACAGGGGAAACCTGTGGTCGTACGATTTGGGCATTTCTGTCTAAATGAGCAGTTATAAAGACGTAATCAGTTACCGCGATAGGACGCAGGGTCTAAATCTCTGGGCAAATTCATATATTATATTCAATACACGTCTTTGCCATGCACCACGACTCGAGTAAGTGAAGTCATGAAAATCAGATTTTTCCTCGGGTAATTTATCATAAGGTCAAAAATCCTAGCACAGTTGCTGCTGGAAAGATGTGGCTTTTTCACATTTCATCACACAAGTAATGTACTTACTTTTTGTATTACAATTCTTGATGAAGACAGGCCCATACACTTTTACTAAATGTGATTCATTTGTGTCAAGGTAACAGAGGAAGGGGCGTCACCTTGTCAATACCTCCCGTCAATTGGACAATTTCTTTCAAGCCCCTAAAAAAAAGACAATAATCCCTAATGAAATGATTTTGTGAAGCTCAATCACATCTTGCTATTTCAAACCAAGTTTGGTGGTGTCTAAAGGTAAAATCACAAACACTCTGAATATTCAAACACTTGTAACTGTATATATTTCCTGTTTGGCCTTTGCGTGTTCAAAATTTGTTTTTTCTTAATTCTGATCTGAAATTGTTTCTTTCTGTCTGAGGCTGCAATAGAGACTATTTTAAATGTGTCATTCTGTTAGTTGTGAATGTGTGAGAGACACAAATTGACCAAATATTCGCTGTTTCCAGCTGTCTTGAGTGTAGCCAAGGCAAATGACAGATGAGGTTGTAGTTGCTTACTGTATGACAAAATGATTTTTGGCTATACTGTATTCATTGTTGCTCTTCTTGAATGAGCTGTTGGAAAATTATTGTAAAACACAACCATTATAATGGCCAAATTCTAGCTCCTGCTAACGAATGCCATTGCCTTTGACTTGGCTGTACTGATACACCATCCTTACATCTATCCATTTCCATCTTAACACATATCCTGCTCACGGCTGCAGGGAGCTGGAGCCAATACCAGCTGACATTCTTGACTGGTGGCCAGGCTCTTAAGGGCACAGATAGAGACAGACAGCCATTTTCACTCACATTCACTCTGTCACTGATGGAAAATGTCCCGCTGCACCAGGGTTGTCAAACTCATTTTTGTCGCCTGCCACATTTTAGTTAGCGTTTCCCGTTAAGACTTTGAAACCATATAAAGAAGTCAAGAATAGCGATTTATTCAACTATTGTTTAAGTTACTGTCATGAGGGTTTTGGTAACAAGAAAATGCTTACAATATTTATCTTTGTTACCTTCAAGTGCATCATGGAAGTTAATATGTTTGATTTGTTTTCGCGGGCCACATAACATGATGTGGCGGACCAGATCTGCCCACCCGGGCCTTGAGTTGGAGGCACTACACCATCCGTGACTTGTAACTATCGACACTATCTGAGATGTAATTTTGTCAACAGTCAGTTGAAAACTTTTCTGTTATTTATTGATTTATTTTTTAATTTACTGTGTATCTATTGTCAGGGGAGTTGTACAAAATGTTTCCTTTAATTGTCCCTTGTTTTTTGATAATAATTATGAACAATTTAAAAGTGCTGGTGTAATGTGTTTTATTTTATTGCAAGTATTTTAATGCTGATAGGTTGATATAAAGTTCCCGACAGCGATGAAAGGGTTGGCCACCTAAACTCGCAGTTAACAATGTCATATATCCCCCTGACTGTAATCCTTTTACATAAGAGCTGACAATGTTTTACACATTGTCACATTTATTACACTATACAGGAAGAGGTTGAACTTAAGCAGAATGATTTAAAACCTTTCTCTAATCATTAAAAACAAAGGTCTAGCATTGATTGATTATACAACCGGTATAGTGGACCCCAGTATCCTCACGGTGTGGCACCTGTGGATCCACCTACTCGCAGATTTTTATCTTGAATTTGTTTTTCGCATTTTATGAAAAGTTTTTTGTTGGAGGTTTTTTTTTTTGGGTGGTGTTAAAAGATCTTTTTTTTCTCAATGCATTCATAAATGCCATCAATTATACTGTATGCACATTTTCACGATTCACGGGCTGGCTGTTTCCTATACACTGAATAGCGACGGTCTGCTGTACTTATTTTTCTTAATGGCGTTGCCTTAATTTTATTGATAGTCACTCATTTTACTAAGTTCAGAATTGCACTAGAGAAAACAGCAACAAATTGCTTGGATTACCATAAAAATACACACAAAAAAAAGCCGCGAGTTTGCTGTAATTTATTCCTTGTTTGTTTTATTTATTTTTTTATAGTGCACAAATAACAAGGAGTTCATCCTAAAATACTTTTACAATTATATGGCATTTTAAAATCTATAAACTATTTCTTTATTTCTTTTTTTCTCTCTTTCTTTCTTGCTTGCTTGCCTCTGTCCTGCTCTTCACATAAGGTTGTGGCCAGGATGAAGCATGACAAAGGGGAAATCACAAGCACATTGTCATACTCTGCATCCAAACAATAAAAAAATATGGTGTGATACAAATAATGTGTTGGTAAAGTTGACCAACATGTCGTTTCAAAATGTGTTCCATGGTTATTGGAATTATACTCATTTTGTCATCCGTCCATCCATTTTCAACCACTTTTCCCATTCACCTTGGTATTCCCGAGTCAAGACAGGGTCGAACAATTATTCACACCTTCATTCACCTTGTACATGTTTGCATCTTCAGCTACCCCAACGTGAACAAACACCGGGGGAATGTGCAAATCCAACTCCAACCAAGAACCTAATTGTGTATGCATACGTGTGTGTGTTTTAAGACAGAATTTCAGAATGCCTTTAGTATTTATAGTCTTGAGCTTTATTCGTAGATTGGTTTGAAAACCAACCCATAGAAAAACATCAAATTAGTCATGTGCAATTATCACGTTGCCTTTCAGTTTCTTGGGAATAGATGAACAAACATTTGAGGGGGGTTTAAAGTTGTTCAATATGTATTCAATAAACACCCTGTGGTTGTATTTCATGTGTGGGCATTTTATTTCTTTTGTCATCCATGACTTCAAAAACTGTCATTTATTTTGCCGGAGCAGCAATTGAGAGGGCGTATATAACAACTGCTTCAATGATCTCATTTAAAACAGGAGCTGCCGAAGTGACTTTCTTTTTTGTACCACTCCTGTTCAGAGTACTGGATGCCTGTCTGATTCTCAGTCTTATGCAATGGGGCATCCAGTACTTTGACTTGAATGCTCCGAAATCCAGCCAACCTCCTTTCAACAGTGCCTGAGAGGTCATCTCAAGCCTTAGGCAATAAATAGAATGATCATTAGTCATTAGTCTAAGGCCTGATGAGTTAAGGAATACAAAGCCCATAGTTCTCATTTTTTAATGTTATGCTTCATCAGTTTGGTGCCCTAAGCATAAATGCTTTGTGGTGCCCCCCCGCATACCACCCCTGACACCCCTCTGAGTATTTGTCAGTTTTGCTTTATTTTACAAAATAACTTGTCAATATGAATGTTTCAAAAACATTCACAAAAATAAGAGACAAATACCGGTAATAATAATTAAGCCTTTATAAAACACTCAGAATCGCACCAAGTACTCAAATAAATAAAAATGAATTATTGAAAATGTTCTAAATTATGTTATTAATAGGCCTATATTTAAAACCCAGGTTCATGAAAGTTTCAGTATTCTACCTTAATAGACAAGGATTGATATGGCGCTATATACACATTCTGGACATAACGTGAAAACAGTGAATATGAAAGGGAGAAATCTACATAGCTTGAATATTTTTTTTTGGTTGTTTCCAAATTACAGTTTCACCAATAGATGTCCATCTTGCCCACTGACCCTCTCGAAAATGTGGTGGTTGCATATAAAACCACATTTGTCTCGTAACATTCCATTTAATTTTAATAGCGAAATCAATGAGCAGGTCACAACTTTTCCACAACAGCGTTTTGGGTTGTTTTTGGCGAGCTTGTATAACGCAATCGCCACTTGCATTTCTTGAGGTACAGCAGGTTTTTGGTAGCCGTGGAGGGACACCAAAGCTAGACCGATGAGAGGTACGCACAGGAGATTAACCTGTTTTCGCGTAAATAAGACGACGTTATTTTTTTATTACATATGTTTATTAACTTTACTTTGCCTCCCCAGGGCTGTCGTTGCCCTCCGCGCAGTGCGTGATCAGCATACGACGAGCGCAGTGCCCGCCTGTGCTTCATGTTTGCTACATATTTTTATGACAATGCTCGTCTTAATGAACAATTCATCCTAGTTTTCAGTGGTGTCGAACTTTTATGTAGCTATTTAGTAGAAGTGATCAAAAATCAACACCTTGTAGTAAAATACAATGGTCACAATTGAGCAAATGTGTATACATAGCGAAAGAGTATGTTGTCAGCTATTCGCAGCTATGAACGGTCATTTCATGATAATGACATAGTGATAGTGCTTTATGCATTTCCTCCGAACAATTATGATGAAGGTTTCTTGCTTTGTCTGACCTTAACTCACTGTTGGGTCACATGCATTCAAAAAATACGCCCACTTGCCTTTATCATTTGCACTTTGTCACCGTCTATTAGTCATTAAGTAGCAAATATAAATATGACCCAATTGGACAAACTCGGCACTGGTTCTTCGGATCCTCTCAGGAAGGTAAGAAGCTCATTATATCTTGAGGATGTCAAATTGAATTTGTAAATCTGAAGATGATAACTCAATTAAACGACATCAATGAAAAGTCATGTTCTGGATATTCTCCAGTTTAAATGTTAACCCGCAAAATGAACACAAATGTTTGTGGCGGCTTGTTTTTTAGAAAGTTCTTGTTTTTCTTGTGATTTGTGTATGTGTGTGTGTGTGTGTGTGTGTGTGTGTGTGTGTCATTAACAATTCTTTCTCTCAATTAGTTTCATAGGTTTACCAGATTGGGTTAACAACATGATGGCGAAACTCCTCATAGGTAAATATCCATATTTGGTAAAATTGCAGGTTCAAATAACAACTGAAAGGATCAGGTCAAAAACAAATTACAATGACTGTACTTTATTATTATACATAACTTATTCAAATGTGCAGTCGAAATTCCGTTATTTTTACATTATGAAACATTACTCTCGTCCTTTTTTTTGTGCTTTCAAATGAAATGCACTTTTTTTCTCCTCTGTGTTGGGGAGCATCTTTTTGTCACGTACAGTGGTACCTCTACTTACGAACGTCTCCTCATACGAGATTTCCAAGTTATGAAACGCCTCAACAGGAAAATATTGCCTCTTGTTACGAAAGAAATTTAAAGATACAAAAGGTAAAAATACAGTATGGGCTGCTCATCGCAACTTCAAGTTTCCTGAACGCAACATACTTATAGCTGTTCTGCCATTGGCTATTACAGATCACCATCCTGGCATCCCATTGGCTAAGAGGGACTCTACCGAATTTGTCGACGTGTGTAGATACTGTAGAGAGATTTGTGTCTATGCTGCGTCCTTTTCTTTCGCCCATCGGCCCCAGCAAATGTTCCGATTGCTCTTTGTAAATGTGAATCACCCAGAAACAGTGAAACGGATTAGGACATTTACATGTAAAACACATCACTACTTACAAAATTTTCTAGTTAAGAAATTTCTTCTAGAACCAATTCATTTTGTAAGTAGAGGTACCACTGTACTGTAAAATGAAAATGTGCTCTGCTCCCATCAGCCAAATTATACTTTTCACATATTAATCCGTCCTGTTTCCTTTTGTTTTGGCAGCTCTGAGTGTTCTCCTAACTCTGCACATAGGTAAGCAAGCAGTTTGCATGGCGAAATGTTTTAACTCGTCAGTCGATAATGAGTCTATGCTCACCGTACACTTAGATACAGTACATATTCAGAACAAAAATGAAAGCTGTATTTGTTTTTTTTATTTTTCTTAAAATAAAATTCTCTTATCGTTTCACTTTAGTGCTGTGTTGAGGTACAATTACTACATATTTTGCATAAAATGGGTATCCTGTATGGTTCACTTGCCACACTTTTATACTCATTTACGTGGAAGTTCTAGCTTGAATGGAGCCTTGCGCCTTGCTGGTCCTCCTCCGTAGTAGTAACAGCGAATGTATTTTACATACTTACTGTCATTTTGTTTGCACCTTGAGTAAGGTTAGTACCGGTAATCTGTTTAGTGACTGCCTTGTTTGTTCTCAACACATGACACGGATGGGTATAATATCTCTAATAATGCATTGTGAGTACCAGGATTCACAGAGAATAGGCCAAACTAAGTGATTTTTCAGATGTATATTGTATTGTAAAAGAAATTTTACTGGATCACTTCTGACAGTAAAATACAGTAATTAAAAAAAATACTGTTTCTACAGTATTTTACTGTACTTATAATTTAGATTATATGTAGTGTGTATATAATATGTCAAATGAATCTACACTTAGTTATTTTTACGTACTGTAAGCGCAGGCCACATTTCACTTTCTGATTTCAAGCGGGGAACAATTTCCCCCAGATATTTAACCTACAGGTGTACAATGAGTGTGTGTTTGGCTATCATGAAGAAATAAAACCCAGCCATACTCATAATGTGTCAATTTTCCTTTCCTGGATGCATTACTACTTATTTTTTATTTATTTCTTTATTTTTATTTTTTACTACCATGGGAAGTTGCATTTTAAGTAATAGACTGAAAAATACAATCTAAAATAGTGTACTTTCACTATGGCTCATCAAAAACCCTACTATTCACATTCATTCGAAACATGTGCACTTACTGCTTCAATACATCACCACGCATCTCTGCTAATACTTCAACAGTACAGATCATGGGTGCCTCTCCAGGGGGTCACAAATTTCCCATTCAAATTTTTAAACACCAAGCATGCCCCGCGACCCTTGTGAGGATAATCAGATCAGAAAATGGATGGGTGGATGGATGAATGTATGATGACACCTGCATGTCTGTCTCAACTACTCATTGCATTTCACCTGTTTATTTTTACACTATAAAGTGTTTTTATTTTTGCAAGAGGAAAACCTCTAAAGACCAATTGATGAAACCGCTTTTCAGGGAAAAGATAACCTCTCTGTTCTCTCTCCTGTCTTCCCTCAGCTTCTTCCAATAAGTTGGTCTGTCACATGACCAACTGGGCCCAGTATAGGCCTGGCAGTGCCAAGTTCACCCCAGACAACATTGACCCTTTCCTGTGCACACACGTCATCTACACGCTTGCCACCATCAACAGCTTCAACCAAATCACCACCATTGAGTGGAATGATGAGCAGCAGTACGCCAGACTCAACGGCCTCAAGGACATGTGAGCTACCGCATTGTGGGCTTCCCACGGCTTTCATCTAAATCTCTATACATTTACATATACATCTATAACAACAATTAGAATTGTTACAAGAGATTATAAATCATACTTATTATCTGTGCAGTATGATGTTTATTTTTACAATTGTAGCATGTGCTTGAAACTCTGAGTAGGCCACTTGTTTTAATTCCTGAAAATTCTGTGTTAATATTATATAAATTATCATCTCTTAGTAATCCGGCACTGAAGACTCTGCTGTCAGTTGGAGGCACAGTCAATGGAATGAGCCCGTAAGTACTGTTTGACAAAATCCACGATATCCTTTAAAACACAACCAATATTCCTTGCCCACTGTCATCGTTTTCTCTTGGTGCGCCACCAGATTCATTGCCATGGTTGCCAAGCCAGAGACTCGTGCTGCCTTCATAAAGTCGGCCATCAGCTTCCTGCGAACTCACAACTTTGATGGGCTGAACTTGGCTTGGGAATATCCGGCACACAACGGCAGCCCACTGCAGGACAAGCAGAGATTCACTTTGCTGGCCAAGGTTAGCATCCGTAGCTGTTTACTTTCAACAAGTACATTTCGGAAGGATAAAGAAATGTATAATAGCACTTCACTGCAGTACTATGTCCTTGTGAAATGAACATTGTTGGCTGCCAAATGCAAAGTGAACGCAAACCCATTTTCGAATCTTTTGCAAAAAATCCCATAAAACCTGAACCAAAACGATCATGTTATGGTGCAATCAAGTATTAAACATGCACTCTTGTTTGTAGTTAATTTATGCTGTTATTTTTCACTAATGAATAATTATGATGGTGAAGCACTTGTCTTCTTTTTTTAACTAAATGTTAAAATATTCCACAGTCCAATGTTTGGTACGCCAGTAGTAGTACTGGTAGTAAAACATAAATAAATAGGGACCTACAAGTGATGCGGGTGATTTGATTTGTTCTGCGGGTTTCATCGCTAGGAGTTGGTTGCGGCTTTTGAGGAGGATGCCAGAAACTCCAGAAAGACTCAGCTCCTGCTGTCAGCCAATGTTGCTTCAATCCGCGCCACTATCGAAAGATCTTACGAGGTCAACCTGATTGCGCCGTAAGTTGGAAGGCATTTGCCTCACTCGACTGGATCACGCTGTTCACCACAGGCGTCCTTTTCAAAGGATACATGATCATGAAATGAATTCATGAAACGCATTAATAGGAATAAGGAAGGCACACAAACTGAGACATGTATTTTAACCCTTTCATGCACATTGCAACCTGATAACATGATAAGCTGTGTCCACTGCAGTAACTGCTGTCTCTGAAAGGGTTAATATGAAGGGGAAATCTTCTGGTGTGCATTGAAAGAAGAAAAAAAATGTTTGTGACACCCACAGACATTTTGACTTCCTCAACCTCATGACCTATGACTTCCATGGACACTGGGAGGCAGCAACTGGACACAACAGTCCTCTGTACCCAAGTTCTGTGGACTCAGGATCACACATTCATCATAATATCGTAAGAAACACACGGCACTCTTGTGCGCCTCTTTCACTCTCATTCTGTCTTCGCCGCATGTGTGTGATGCATTTCTGTGTGTGGTGCACAACCCTCAAGTGTACACCGGAGTGACGAGTTGAATTTCCCCCTAGAGGGGCTTTCATGAATATCGTCAATAAATAACAAAAGGAATATGCTTTGATTGTGGCACAATGTGAAAGGGTGAGTCTATGGTTAGATTCTTAACGAATTTCTTCAATTGCTGGGGCGAGAAGTGAAAATGGAGACTTAACTCAGTTTAATCGGTGTAACTTTTAAATTTTCAAAGTTTCCTTTCACAACAAAAACTGTAATTAATGAGTCAGTGTTCTGTTTATACAGAACATGTACATGCTGAGTAGAAGTAATGGTGGAGATGTTTCTCTTGCCTTGTATTCTTTTTATTTCACTGAGTAGTGTATAATTATAACTTTGGACAACAAATTGCCAATCCATCAACAATATGAACAATATAAATTACGGTATTCTAGGGGGCTTAGAAGGACTATGAGAAAAAAAAAATGAAATTACGAGAACCATTGCAAAGTGTCAAGCAAATAAAGTCACAATCGAAGGATATCATCTAATTTTGACAAGAAACAAACCCGAGAGTATGATGGGAATAAAGTTTTCTTAAGAGAACAAATGAATATGTTTATGATCGAATTCTCACAAGCATATACATCAGCAGAAGAACAGCAGCAAAAGACTTTCCATGTACTGATTTCATTGCTGATGTGGAACATGGTTGTGTAACCTGTCAAGAATTTCATGGCATTTTACTTCTTTTTTGCAGTAGTGCAGCTTTATTTTCAGAATTTCGAGAATAATTCTCCTTTGTGGGCTATTGATTCAAAGCTGCAACTCTGTCACAATCAAAACAGTGAAAAATATTGAAGTGTTTTTGAAAACACTGGCTCAAAATGCATGTCGATTTCAAAATTGTAGAACTCCTCTGTGTTCCATTGGCTGGATATGGGAGCACCAGCAGAGAAGCTACTCCTGGGTTTCCCTTCATATGGGAGAACCTACCGCCTTCAGACTGGTGCTAATGGCCTGGGAGCACCATCAAACGGACCAGCTGACGCCGGGCCATACACTCGCACGGCTGGTTTCTGGGCTTACTATGAGGTCAGATATTTTAGACCCCAAAATATGAACTTTGTCATAAAGCTCAATGTTGGTTTGATCGTCTGTCATTTAGTTTTGTTAGTAATTAAACTTGAACTTGTAAGATGTGCAGTCCAAAATGAAAAAAAAAAGTGAAGGTGTGGATGGAGGCCAATTGAACAAGGAGCTGATTTGGGATTTCACTTTTCTTTTGTCTCAGGTCTGCGACTTCATCTCCAGCGCTTCGCCTGAATGGATTGCTGAACAGAGCGTTCCATATGCCACCTTTGGCAGTGCTTGGGTTGGCTATGATGACCAGCGCAGCTTTTCATCCAAGGTAACAAAGCGCCATTTTCTGGAAAGCCTTTCACGATGAGGGTCATGGGCAAATGGACTAATGGCAGGGCGATTGGTAATCGGCTATGGAGACATCACATCATGCAAGTGGCGCCCTTCGTAGGGCTGGATGATGATGGAAAATAATAATGATCGCGATTATTTTCATTGTGATTGAAATCATGATTATATAAACGGTTATTCGATTATTTCAAATTTTAGCGTTTATTCAACTACTAAAACTCAACTATTTAAACTATCATCATCGCCTTATGCCCATTTATCCCTGCATTTTGAACACTTTATTCTTGAAGACGATTCAATTTGTCAAGAACAAAATGGGCTTGTAAATACAATGTAAAATTCAAGCCTTTTGCATATTCTTTCTGCCACATCCACACCCTTGCTGTCTTTTTATACACATTGAGGTCTGGAATAAACATTACTCTGATCTATTTAGGCGTAGAAAAAAAAATATGGTTTCCGGTAACCCTACCGACCGAGAATTTCTACGTCGAAAAAAAACTTTACGGTCGGCATTTTTTTTCAAACAACCCTCTACATTTTTGTGTAGAGGTTTTACATCGGTGCAAACTCTCGCGATATTCACGTTGAGTGCGTGTGTAGTTTACTCTGTCGTCTGTCAACAACATTGAAACATGGCGGCGGCCGCGATCTCCGATGACAGTTTAAAACGCATTTTCTGTGTTACAGTCGCGTGCTCGCACCGTAATGTTAAGAAAATAGCATCCGATATTTTATGGTTATTTTGTTTAAATTTTTGATGGGAAAAAAAAAGATTAAAAAAAAAAAAAAAAACTTTGTCCGACCTACCGACCCTATGCTGAAATTTCATGTTACCGGAAACACTATCTTTTTTGTTTGGCCTTATCATATTTATTTTCACAAGTCTTGGGACTTATGGGGTTAAAATGGAATTTTGGCGATAGTATCTCTTGCCTTGTCATGTGCAAATGTGTGTTGGCATGACAAAAAAAAGTCATTAGATCTTTGTATCCTTGAATTTTGCCCAGAGGAAAATTCCTTGAATGATTGAAAATGTCATTTTAATTGAAAATAAATACATTTTAAAGGACAACAAAAAGTAAATTACGGGATTAAGAAAGTAAATTAGAGTACAGTATAGCACAATAACAGCAATTTGAAAAAACAAAAACAAATACCGGCTGTTCATGCGTGTTTTGGCCTCATAGGGGCAGTGTAGTGCCAGACGTGGATGGATTAAGGACACACTTAGAATGAGAACAGAAGAAGTTGTAATTTAATTGAACTGTATTCATCTAACTAATTTTCCACCGATTTGGGAATTGGGATTGTGCCTTTGAGTAGTGCTATCTTACCTGTGTGCTTGCGTTTCCACAGGATTTGTGTGTGACTATTGGTTATTTGAAGATATATCGCTCATGTATTCGATGCTAATTTCCCGTGAGCATGAATCGGATCCTCCATTGACTTCAGCATTTGCGCAAGCAAGCTTTTAAAAACGAAGCATGTTTTTTATTTAAATTTAGATTGTGTGTAATGCTTTTTCTCGTGTGTTTAGTTTTACAGTAAACCCCAACTCGGGTGTCATTAAACAGCTAAAAGCACGCTCAGGGACGGGAGACTCACATACACTATACCCTTTCCTATGCAAGCAATATGATGCATTCAGGGTACTTTCCTAACGTCGGAAACTTGTAAGCGCATCGCTCCATTCAATACGTTAATCGTTTTCCTTCGATTATAACGTTTTAGAGATCGAAAGTCAAAATCATGATTTAAATTTTGATTAATCTTCCAGCCCTACTTGTTCGTATTCATTGTTGTACATAATAAGAGAAGCTGTCATTATTGGAGCTGCGCACACCTCTCGCTATGTGTGAAAATACAAGCTATTTGTGTGTCAATCATATCAGTTTTTAATTACAGTCCTGCCAATCAGTGGGCCAGAGGCATGTCCAGTGATCTAATATTTAATTCCTTTGTGCAGAGACATTGCTTTTAGCTCTCAAACAGTAATTTTGATATTAATCCTATTTTAGGTTGAGTGGATGACAGGCAGGAATCTGGGAGGTGCTCATGTGTGGACTCTTGACATGGATGACTTTGGTGGATCCTTCTGTTCAGCTGGCTCATATCCACTCATCAACCACCTCAGGATGTCAATGGGTGAATATTGTTTCCATATCAATGTTTCAGGGCATCTGACAGCAGTCAAGTTGTCAACTCACAAGGACTCTTTTAGTAAAATTGAGTTATTTACAAAGCAATTTATACGTCTGACTCTGCAGGCTTCCCCCCTAAGCCTACCACCACTCCAGCTCCGACCACCACCAGGGACCCCACTGCCAGTTTCTGTCATGGCCGCCCTGACGGCCTGTACCCTAACCCATTTGACAGCAACACCTACTTCCAGTGCTTCAGAGGAAACACCTACCTGCACCGCTGCCAGCCTGGTCTCATTTACTGGGACTCCTGCAAGTGCTGCAATTGGCCTTGATGCAGCATGGCTGAAATAAAAGTATTTGGGAGAAAGTTTGCAATGTTAAGTAAACATCTAGAACAAAACAGTAGCTAAATCTGTAATTGACTCATTAAACATTTGTTAATGTATCATTTCATATGACTTTCACATTTCATCAATTTCGCATTTTGTCGACTCAAGAATTGAGTAGTAAACCATCTTTAAATGCATTAATTTTGGGGTTTTCAAGTTGCTGCCATGTTGAGATGAAAACTCCAAAAGGAATATTTGTTCATTTTAATATTGTTTTTTTTTCCCCTGTATGTAACGACTGAAAAAAAAGGATTAGATTATTGCTGCTCTGCTTTTTTTTTCCTCCTTGAAAGTGAACATTGAAGTCAGCCAAGGAAAATGTTTATCATTGAACTTGAAAATGTTGAACATAGCCATTGAACTATGATTTAAACAGAAAATATGCCACACGCACTGGATTAAAGTTATTAGGACCTGATGGCACGTCCGGCCATGCCTCTCACCCTCAACCTTTATTAAACTAAAAATTCAAGATGAATTGATCTGGTAATTATTTCGTTTTCTTTTCAGATTCTTGCCCAATTTAGTTCAAATTCAAGCCAAGTTAATGTAACCACAACCATGAGGCAAATCCCAATTATATGGGGATCCAGCCAGCTGCTTGCATTGATGGGAATGCACTTAGACTGCTACACTACCACAGAAACACCTCCCAAACATAAAATTTCTTTCCGACACGAAATGGGGTCTGAGGTTCAAAATAGTGAATAGAGCCATTAAATGAGCTGCTACATTTTTGGTACGAAAAGGCATGTTATGTATATAGTCTCAGATGTTTCTGGAAGATAAACATTTTATCATCAACATGTTGCACATTTCTTTGCCTGCTTAGTTAAAAAAATCAATAAATAAAATTTATAAAATTGAAAAATACACTGTTACACACTCAGACTCTGAAACTCTGCCTAACAACTTTTACGTCGCCTTACCTCTGTAAAATGAACAGCATCGATCCAAATAGATCTTTAAGCAACACACGTGTTGCTTTCGACAAGGCTGGGATGAGTACTGCTGACTGGAGATTGCCATTTTCATAATAAGATGATTTTTAAACGTTTGGATTTTTGGTGCCCAACTACTATTTTCTAGCTTGAGAAGTTCCCGCTGGATGAAATTTAAGGTGTTTTTCATTTACTTAGTCTACCAGTGGGCACTGGTAGACTAAGTGAAGAGAATAAACAAATCAAAAACAAGGCAAAATGCCAAACACAGGTTTGCCAACTTGTACATCGCCACTTTCCCTCCCAATTCTGGATGGATGAAGCTGAGTGACACAACACAGTTGATTCTCACAGATTTGACTGATGGATTCCATGTCACTTGAATCCTGATTCCTAACAGAAAAAAAATAATTGAGAAGGTCATTACAATGGCTAGAATAAGGTTAGGTTGTGTTTGTATCAAATGTTATCAATGTCATTCATAGATAAATCAATTCCGACTATTTCTCAGTCTTTGAACAAGAAAAATCATAGCAACAACACACACACACACACATGCACAGTAAATAAATTGTCCATTTAACTCAGTTTCAGATATTTGGGTTTATTCTGCTCAATCCAGTTTCAAAATTAACAATGAAATGTGCAAAAATGTTTGACATTTAATTTAATCAAATGATTACAAAATAAAAATAAAATAGAACATCAGATCCACAAAAAGTGCTTAGGTTGACATATCAAAAACAGTACGAACCGTTTTTCTGAACAATACAAGTACTGAACTTGCTTCAGATAATAAAAAAGTAAATAAAACAGACCTTTAAACCACAGTGCTGTAAGTTAGTGTGTCGCTTTGTGCGATCGG